TCTCTCTCTCTCTCTCTCTCTCTCTCTCTCTCTCTCTCTCTCTCTCACTCACACACACACACACACACACACACACACACACACACACTTACTGCAGGCTACTCATACCTGATGATGAGTCAGCTCAGAAAGAAAGTCATATACAGTCTATTATATTAGTCTGTAGTTACTGTAATTTGTTTTACAGAATGGAGTGAGTAACTCTGAGTCATCCCACTCTGTCATCTTAAACTGTATCAAGATACATTTTAAAAAAGGGCAAAAAGTTATGCTTTAACTGCCCCTTTGGCAAAAATGACCACCAGTGGAGAGTGTTGATATAGCAATAAGGTAAGTTAGATAAGTTGCCATGGATATTGTATTTTATAATTCATTGTATCTTTAACAGACATCACTCTGCCGGATCACATGTTACTCGGTTGTGTCCTAGCTCTGGTGTCAGTGACGTGCCAACAGTGCAGTTCCAGAGAACTGTTAAGGTTGTTGTGACTTGACAGAAATGAGAGCCAGAGATTACTTAAAGTCACAATTAAGTAGCATTTTGTCGGTCCCTTTTTTTTTTTTTTACATACTGATTTCTTTTTGTGACTTAGTTCCGACTGAGACAGAAACTGGAGTTACAATGAAGGTGGTCGTCATTCAAGAGCGTCAATCAATAGTATATGTCATAACATCTGTCTTTTATTTAGAAATCAGTTTGTTTATTGGCTCACCGGGTTATTTGTAGAAAGATCTCCAATTGACAAAGATTCTATAGTTTTTATAGAAATTGTCCGAATCAAAAAAAACGAGTCTGAAGTCCCCAACTGTGAAGTCCGCTCTGGTAATTGACTTTGCTATGTCCCAGCCAGGACTGAATTGAGATTGGCTGATCTTCCAGGTTCCGGGCTCTCAGGGCTATACTTCAATGGCCGCGCAGTTTGTCTTCCTCCCTGCTGCGCTGGTTCAGGGGCTGGTCAGGAGAACTCGGGTGTATCGGCACACAGAGGGGAGCTACGGGAGGCCTGCCAGACTATGGGAGGTCCTGTCTTTTCATGAGGAACACCAAGCGTAGAGCCACACTTTGGATAATACAAAAATATTTTCCACTGTTGTGACAATAAGTCCTATACTTTAGCTACCGGCTGCGAATTTATCTGCGTTGTTTCGACATGTGCTCAGAAAACTGTAGAGCTCTTCTGATGTTAGATGATTGCTTTGAGAAGGTAGAGAGCTTTGAATGATGCTTTGTTTGCTGCTCTAGAGGATCCAAAGTTGACTTTTGTGATGTTCGAATATCTCGTTGAGATTTGGCACCATCTTGCTTAGTAATTATGAGATGCGTCCTTGACGTTGTGGTGATCAAATGAAGAGACGTGCTGCCATGAGGACTGCTCAATCCGGGTGGTCTTTAATGGCCTTTTCACAGCGCCTTTTTCTTTCACCATCCTATCAAGTTATGGTAAGTGAGTCGTTAGGTTGTGCGTTTTCCTCTTCCGTGTTCACAGTAAGTCAGTCTTTACATTAGTGAAACAAAACGCGCACAGATTGTTTATGAATGGCTGCGACCAATGCATTGGATTTACACCTCTTATTAACACACAAATTAACAATGGCCATCCAGCGCTGAACATTGACTGGCATGGATGGTCTAGCGTTCCGATATCTAATGCTTGATGTCCCGTAACACCCCAGTAGCTGTCAACCGTATACACCTCAACGACGGTCTCCATTGTTCCCCAATGAAGCGACGCGTATTCGATGACTCCCAATGAACGATTGTTTAGACACGTGCTCAGAGAAACAATACACAAAGTTACCAATATTTTATATCATGGCGTTTATTTTGCCACTGGTGCACGACAATGTCCGTCACTTCCAATAAGTTCGATCGCAAAGTTAAAACAAATATCGCCACACGATGTTTCGTCAGGGCGCGGTCAAAAACTGTTCGCCTCTTTCCCCAATCAGCAACACCTGCGATCACTGGCGTGAACATAAATATAGGCCTCTAACAAAAAACACCAGCTCGTGCTTGGAGGCATATTACACATAAACACAAATCAAATACTTGGCTTCTATATACGCAAAAGCCCATTCAGAAAATGGCAAATTTACGTTGATTTACATTTTTTCGGCCTCAAAGAGTGGCCACCATTGACACAATTGATTGAAGCAAGTGCAAAATACAAATTCTGACTCATTTGACAATGATGCTAGTGTCCATGGATGGGAGGCTGCTGGAGGCCCCGAACTCACAATTTACATAATCTAAGTGGAAAAGCATATCGCTGCTGAAGAGGCACCATCCTGCCCCGGATCGTGTTGTTTTGGTTTGTGTGTACATGCAGGTTGCCAGACTCCACTTGCTACCATGACAAGTGCCATCAGGCACATTTAGACTGTAGTTCATACATTCCCCTGGCCTCGATAAAATCTCGCATCTACGTGTGTGTGTGTGTGTGTGTGGTCGAAGTTGGTCTCTAAATCAGAGGCAGGGCTTGATGGCAGCACCTTGACAAAGAAAGGATGGCTGATTTCCAGTTATTATCGCTCTCCCTTCTGTCGCAGAAGCAATGTAAGGCATGTTCGATCCAAATCTTTCAGCTCTGACGAATGTTCGCTATTTTAGAGCGTCTTAATGATGGGAGATAATGAATTTGGTGTCACTTGGTCAAAGGTCTCACAGATGAGCTATATGAGGAAACACTCATGTCTTGATTTGTAGGTGACCTGCACACTTTCTATTATGCATATCTGGTGTCACATACACTGCTCAGGGCACGCCAATACAATTCAGGGCTTAATTCTCGTCAGATTGATTAAAAACCCAGGAGCAGCTAACGACCTTTGGATCCCAAGTAATAAGCTCCGTCCTCTGATGACTCACCTGTCCCTCTGGCTTACACTTGTCCTATCCAGACTCGTGCCAGGATTAGTTATGAAAGAGGTTTAAACCTGGCCACTGTACGATCACAAACACACACACCCACAGAGGCACCCATAGATCAGAAACACCCCTGGCCCAGATGAACGCCCCAATTATTTAAAAAACCAACAACAAGGGAGGGTCACAAGAATATAATAGGCAACAAATGAGGGGGATCAAATATACTCAAGTGTTATCTTCCTGCTCTGGAGAGGCTATCAGGTGTTTGGCAGAATGACACCCTTAATGACCGGCCTTTGCAGGGGATTGGTGCCCAGTTGAGAGACATAGCGTGTGACTATGTGCAGCCACCCAGACAGATAAAAGAGGAATGGTGTCGTGCAGACAAAGACACCAGGTCTCACCAGTCCCTCAGATGCCTGCACGTTCTTGGAAGAGTCACAAGCGGCCTGTTAGGGAAGTAATTTGCTTCTCCCCCCCCCCCACCACCCCCCTCTACATCAAAAGGGAAATTCCAACTTTACACTTGTAAGTTCCCTCTTCACTCATCCACTGTTTACGTTTCTCTTCTCTTTTTAAGGTTAAGGGTGATAAAAGGTTTTGAGCTCATTTGCTGCACGTCTGTCATTTAAACAAGCGTGTTACTCCTTTGCATGCAAGCGCTAGGTGTTGTTTGTTCTCACAGATAATAGCAGGCTACGCTTGTCACAGCATTTTTTTGATTTATAGTTTATCTTTGTCATTTGTTTTGTCCAAGGTAATTAAAATAATTAGACTCTGACACAAGACACAAGCACATGAGCTGCAGTCAGCATGCTGTCAGGTAATGTGAGAAAGGGTTGTTGTGATTTGTGATTGGGTTTGGTAGTGAAACAGGCCTGCACACTGTTGCGTGTGAACCTCTGGCGCATTGCCAGTTGAGAGAGGAGTAAAAGGACAGGTTGCATAAGAATTGAGTTATGTCTTGATTTTGAAAGAGTGTGTCTCACGGAATATGTGTTTGAATTGGCAATACGCGTGGTCAAGTGTCACGTAGAGGGCATTTACTTAGACATGTGATGACACTGATTGTTTTCCTTTCATTTGGATTATTGCGCTCTATAAATGATTTTCAAGTTTAGTATAAGCAGGCTCTGGTTACAGTTCAGTCACAAATGGAAAACTTGGCCATAATGAAAGATGCCGTGTGGTTTCTGGAACGCTGTGTAACAACGGTGAAAAGCAAAATGCTCATTTTAGGCCTTTTTTTCCCCAATATAATTTCTTCTTTTTTCGTGGTGTGTTTAGTGGGCCATGTGCCTGTAGTCCTTAATATTTTTTCATATTTTTCATCATTGAAATTTGTTTTATTGTATTCTGAGAGGGATTTATTTTAACAAAGCCTCTGTGATACAACTAAATAAGGCATGCTCATAGTGACTCGAGCAACATCAGAATTTGGGGAAGTTTTGGAAACAGTAATATTTCTACATCTACACTATTGCTAATGTACAAGCAGCTCTCTTCACCACATTTCCTTTAAATGGCACACACATTTATATTGTCATGCAATGTAAGTCATTATGAGTGGAGTTCCTGAAATCATTGCTTGAAGTGTCTGGAGAGCTCATTGATGAGAATCTTGTGAACTGCTGGCAAAAAAAACAGTTCATATTCTTGATTTAGTGGCGTCCTCTCGGGGAAGAAACTCGCAAGCGCTGCACAATTATCAATACTACAACTCCCATTATGCAGTTTACCCGGCAGTAGGCTACTTCCGCATCGACCTCAGGTCGCGCGTGGGGTGCCGGTAGGGCTACAACACATTGGTGTGAATGAACAGCGCGCTCTGGCAATGGACGGCAAAGCTGTGAAGGCCATATTGTTCGACTTGGACAACACGCTCATTGAAACAAGTCGGGCAGGTGGAATAGCGATAACAAAGGTGATAAAGTCAGATATTCTTCTAGTAGCATTTAAAGGTAGCTTCCATATTTGTAACGTCAGCCGAACGGTAAGCTCTCGACCATAGACCGTTTACAGGAAGTGCTCAATGAACTCCGTGAACAGGACGTGGACTACTGGTGACTTTTACTCTTCTACATTTCAGAGACACGTTGTGTACGTTTGACACCAACTACATGTATCTGATAGCTATACTTTGAAAATTCAAATTGTACATAAAGTATAAAACATATAATCATTAAATGGCTCTGATCATCAGGGCATAACACGTGTATTGTTACAGATTAAACGGCCAAAGAGTAATTCAAGTGTTTATGCATCAGTTAATAATTAAAAAAATATTTCAAAGCATAAGTATCTTTTTTCTAATTTAACTTCATTACTAGTAATGTAGCATTTTATTACCTTGTTGTATTGCTACTTAAGTAGACTTCACCTTATTATTTATGTGCATGTGCATAGTGTTGACGTGTTAAAATGTCCATTGTCTCACACACGTTAGTTTTATTTGCACCTGTCAGGGCGGAGCAACTCACACTGTAGTATTTGTACTTTTACTTCAGTGGGACGGGGACGTAGTTTAGAGGTTATGAATCCTGGATGAGGTTTAAATAGTGTATCTTTTTGACCAAAAACAAATCTTAAAAAGTGAGCAAAATGTCTCATTTTGTATTGCAAAACACGCAGGCATAGATGTGAAATAAGCTGATTTATAGTATAAAATGTCAATTTTAGTCTTTAATTAGATATGTCACCATTGTCTCTGACATCAGGTAGAAAATGATGTCTATATTCACATAACAGGTTGCTGAAACCTGAATGAGTGTCCTCAGTGGTGCCTCCGACCGGGCTTCTTCCACCACTGACTGTTGTATGGCACTTTAGCCTAAACTTCTAAAACAATCCCTGACCTCTTGTGGTTTGTTGTTGAATTAGACATGCATGCTTTAACCTTTAAATGGTCATCTGTTCCGATCTTACAGACCAGTGAACTTTTGAAGACGACACTGGCCCTCGACGACAACACCGTCGGCAGTATTTGTGACAAGTTCAAGCAGAAGCTTTTCCAAGAGAGCTTCGACCCCTCCGCCGGCAGAACCATCGACGACGTCCGTGTGGGTCACTGGGAGGAGAGCATCCAGGAGGCCGTGGGCGGCTGTTCGCCACCCTCGCTGGCAGCTCAGTGCTACTACCTGTGGAAAAACAGTCGCCTGGAGGTTCTCAGTCTGTCCACGGAAATTTGTGACCTCCTGAGACAACTGCGCGGCAGATACAAGCTGCTGCTGCTGACCAACGGCGAGGCTCAGACTCAAAGAGAGAAAGTGAAGGCAGTCGGGTGCGAGGACTTCTTCGACACCATCGTGGTCGGGGGAGAACACGCGGAGCAGAAACCGTTCCCCTCCATCTTCACGTTGTGTTTCGACATGCTGGAGGTGGAGGCCCAGGACTGTATTATAGTAGGAGACTCTCTGGACACCGATATTCAGGGGGGCTTTGATGCCAAACTACGGGCTACGGTTTGGATCAGCAGTGCGGGAGGTGCTCTACCAGATGGTTCAGTGACTCCAGACTACACGGTCCCTACTGTGCTGGACCTGCCGCATATTCTGCAACAACTCAAATAAGGACAGGTGGGGATTCAAACCATGTGTGAAGCAAGAGAATGGGGAGGACCGTCTCTTCAAGTGGGAATTTATAGTCATAGAAATATTAAAAGATGAACGTCATGATCAATTTCCTGACTTTCAACTAGGGTACTTTTTCTTCTTTTTTTACTTTTGTGCATTCTGCTAGGAATCTTACACACCATCTTTACATAAGTCTCATAATTGTACTAGAGTACTTTTATTCTACTCCACTACATTTCAGAAGCATTTGTCTGTCAGCTATGGTTACTATTAGGGCGAATCAATATGGCCAAAATCTTCTATTCCGATTTAAGTCATTTCATATCTCAATAAATATATATATCACAATATAGCATGTTTTCTGGTGATTCAATAAATCCATTTTAAATAACCATGTTTTTTTTCCCCGTACTCCTGTGTTAATTGAATACTTGTAAATTCATCATTTTCATTAAGAACTTAAGTGCAAAATGATCAGATTTTCTGAGACATTTGAGAAAGTATATGCTTGTTATTAATTTTCACGTAATTGTATCACGATGTCTCGATAAAATTTCATCAGATGATTCCATTGAAAGATGAGAAACGATATTGAATTATTGCCCTGCCCAGTTACTTTTCGGATTATAAGAAACATCAAATACAAGAGACCCTTTTGAAACATACGACGTATAAAGTTCAAACTAGCTCCCGACCATCCAGCTCCATAATTCTCATGCTCAAGTCTCATCTTGTATATATTGTCACATGGGCCGTTTTCCTGCAGAATGAGCACTTGAGTACATTTTGCTGATATTACTTGTTTCTACTACTAGGACACGATTGTAAAGTGGGTCTTTTATTTTAGTGGAGTTGGTAGTTTTAAAGTAAAGGATCTGAATTCATTCTAAAATATTTTTTATTCCATGCTCAATGTGACTGTACAAAAAGATCTCTGGGTTATTTTTACATCCAATAACATATCAACACATCATATGCTGCTACTTTGTCATTTCTTCTAAGTCTAAGCTAATAACACACTTTTGACAGTGGAGATACACTTCTAAGGAACCAGGTTATTGTGACATATCATGGCTCTACAGTTTGTGTTTTATTCTTTCTGTAGCAACTTCAGAGGATATCAGGACCCATTTTAAAAGGTGCAGTGTGTAGGATCTGGTGGCGAGGTTGCTTCCTTGTGCCGGAGAACTACTAACTACGGAGGTAGACACAAAAATGTGACCGTCTCTATCAAGAGCCAGTTTATCCGTTCTGGGCTACTGTAGACACATGGCGGCCGGCTCTGTCGATACAAACGGCTCACTCTGAGGTAACGAAAACACGATTCTTAATCTCAGTTGATTATACTTTAAATAAAACATTATATTCAATTTCTGCCAATATCCCCCCAAATGCTACACACTGTACCTTTTAATTAGCATTAACAGCAGTGACTTTCTCTTGATTTGTCCCATTTAAGGCATGCATCTTTACTGGTCCGATTGTCCTGCAAAAACTCACTTCACATCTAATTTGACTTTGATGTTCATTGCCGCCAGCTCGGCCACAAAGTAGCGGAAGACGTAAGGAACGGACACCGTGTCAATGGAGTCACTTTTACCGCACAGTGTGCAGACGGTCTCGCGGTGGCGCAGGGCCAACCAGTAGGGCGGCGGTTTCTCTAACAGGGGGGAGAGCAGGCTGCCACAGTCGACGCACACCTGAGTCACCGATCGGTCCGAGCAGTTGAAGAGGCGATCGTGAAGCAGGTAAGACGAGCCGTGGGCCAGCAGGGCGTCTCGCTCCATCTCCCCGAAACGGATGCCTCCCTGAATGTTCCTCCCCCCCACTGGCTGGTTGGTCACCTTGTCTCTTACTCCAGTGGTTCTCACCTGGAACTTGTCGGAGACCATGTGACGCAGCCGCTGGTAGTAGACGACCCCGATGAAGATGTCGGCCTCCAGCTCCTGGCCACTCACTCCGCTGTAGAGCCGCTCCGTGCCGTAGTAGTTGTAGCCGCCCGCCCGGAGAATTTTGCCGAAGTACTCGAGCGCAGAGCTCTCCTCTGAGAAGGTGAAGGGGGTGGCGTCGTGGCTCAGGCCGTGCAGGGCGCCAGACTTGCCGGCCATGCTCTCGATCAGCATCCCGATGGTCATGCGGGAGGGGAAGCCGTGGGGGTTGAACAGGATGTCGGGGGCCATGCCGCTCTCTGTGAAGGGCATGTCCTCGGCCGGCCACAGGCGACTCAGGATGCCCTTCTGACCGTGGCGACTGGCGAACTTGTCACCAATGGTGGGGTTTCGCGGCACTCGCATGGTGATGCACACGCGTTTAAAGCGGCCTGAGCCAGTGTCGTTGCTGCAGATCTTTACATTGTCCACAACGCAGGCCTCCTGGCTCCTAGAAAAAAATACAGAAAAACACATTCACATTGTGGTTTGTAATTTCACAAAGTTAAGCTGCAAAATGAAATATCCTGCAGAATTTAAGTAGTGTTTGGTTTTTGGATGTGTAGATGATGAAAACCATGACACTTACTTGTAGAAGTTGACGGTGGTCTGGCCTGTGTTGAGGTTGATGTAGCTGTAGAAGGGGTCCCCAAACTGAAGTGTCGACCCGATGTGCGGAAGTCCATCAGCGTCCAGTTTGTCCTGTACTTTAGGGTCACCTGGCTTGGTCCCAAACACCACGCTGTCATCTCCCCTCACTTTGTCTGCCAGGTCCACCAGCTCAGTCTTGTAGATACATCCATGGGCAAAGCCTCTCTCCCATGATGACTTGTTCACAATCTAATAAGATCAAATTGTGGATTTCATTCCATTTCTATCAGGAACTAGAATGGGCCAGACAGACTTACGGTAGTAGAACTTGCAAATATAAAGCCTCTGGCTGCGCCTGTCGCCAGCGCAGAGGCATAAAAAAACACAGTAACTGTTGTGTTTTACTCACCATGGCATCTTCCATGTCGTAGCCTGTGTAGGATATAACGGCCACGATGGCGTTGGTGCCGCTGGGGTAGTTGTCCAGGTTGTAGTGGTCATACATGCTGGGCCTGACCAGTGGGCTCTGTGGGGTCTGGAGCCGGTACAGCTTGTTATCAGAACGGTCCAGGAATGAGTGCAGGGGGAAACCCATAGTCTGCTTACCTGAAAAGAGAAGATGTTAAATCTCTGATGGACACGATGTAATGAAAGGACTGATATATTTGAATCTCATCAGCCTATATACACCTTGTGCGGGTGTTTGGAGCCTCTAACGGTGGTCTCAAAACTTACCCATCTGACACTGGTACATGTTCCTCGGACTCTGGTTGTGGTCCGAATAGGGGATGAAGCTAGCCACCACGCTGAGCATACTGTAAGGGAAGAGCTCCTGGTGTGTGGTCACTCCTGGCTGGATCTCATTCTCCATGATGCCCACATTGATGTACAGCTGGCACAAGATACAAAAAGATGATTAATTAAAAGTTTCAGCGGCCAATATGCAAAACAAATCCCCCTTTACAGTTGTGTGCTTCAGGGATTAAGGTAATACGACTACTGCAGCATCTTTATAAATCATAGTCTACACATACTTGTTCAAAGGTGCCAATCAACTCTTGCTTGCCAAGAGCTAGGTTGCGTACGGGCCGCACCATACGGCAGGGTGTTGTGAAGAGGAACAGGCCTGGGTACAAGCTGGCCTTGCCTGTTTTGGGAACCAGAACAATCTCGGTCCAGGGAGGGATCCTCTTCTCTTTCAGCACCTGAGGGTATTCGTTTTAAATATCAGCTCTCTGCACACACAATGTGGGCAGTACGGACTGTTGAACTTGTATACGTCACACAGATGACATACCTTGAACCTCCGCAAGGAGTCGACCACAGCTTGGGCTAATTCAGTCTCCACCCAGCCCACAACAGCCCCGTCCAGGATCACGGGGTAGCAGTCTGAATAAGCTTGGCCAGGAGATCCATCCACTGGAGTGACACCTTAGGCGCAAGAGACGGAAACGATTTTGTGCTCTAAAATGTGCGCCAGACAAAGTTTAAAAGGACATGCTCTAATTTCATACATCGTGTAATTGTGCATCGTGGCCATAATTTAGCAGAACAGATGACTCACCGAGGGAACAGAGCAGAGCAGGCAGGGATATGGTGGACAAGGTCGGTGCCACAATCTCACAGATGGCCGTCATGTGGTTCATGAGTCCACACGGATCTCCATCTGGAGTGTGGACGGGACACAGGAAGCCCCAGGACTCGGGCAGCAGCTTACGAACAGAAGTGGTCCTCATCTTGGCGAACGCCGCACCTCTGTGCACACAGCGGAAGTGGGACAGGTAGCGGATGAAGTTGAGCTTGTCAGCTACAACACACAGGCCTGTGTTCTGCAGCATGCCAAGGCCTGTGCACAGGAGGGGGGGGGGGAAAACCATGTTTTATTTCACAGATGGACTACATTTTTATACCGCAACATGTACTCAAACCAGGCTGCAATCTCCAGTTCTGGAAAGTGAAGCCAATGCATAAGTGCTTAAACTTGCATTCTCTCTACTGGCCAGCAGGGGGTGACTCCTCTGGTTCCAAAAAGAAGTCAGATTGTATAGAAGTCTATGAGAACATAAATACTTCTCTCTTGATTTATTACCTACGTAAACATTGTAAACATGAGTTTATGGTCTCAATCTCTAGTTTCAAGTCTTCTTCAATACAGCATGATGTCCATTTAGTAAATTGTGGTCCATTTAGAGTCAAATAGACCATAAAGCAGGGTATGCTTTAGGGCGGGGCTAGATTATGATAGACAGGCTGCTACCACAGTGTTGTCCGTGTTTATGTTTCACAATCTTAACCCTTTCCCATCATGTCTTCACTTCATGAAATTTAATTGTAACATTTTGGTCAAGATGGTGACAGCCAAAAACCAAAATGCCAAACTCTAGGCTTCACAAAGGGCAGTCCACATACAAATGGCTGACGTGACGTCCACCTCTTATATGCAGTCTATGAGTCATACGGCCGTACCTGTCTTGGAGGCGAGGTTTCCTGTGGCCAGCAGATATTCAAAGGATTTGGTGAGGTCCGTGCCCATGTTGAAGATCTTTATCACGTTCTCAGGGGTCCATCCTCCTTTCAGTCTGCTGCCTCTCTTGTCAAAGGACAGCTTCACAGACTGCAACCAGGCCAACATTCTCTCCTGTTGGGAATGTTTGTGGGGGTTAAATCCTTCACTCATTTGCTGAGGTCATCGCCAGAGGCCAGGAAAGGAAACGCCCATCAGTGCTTGTTCAAACGACTGTGACTGTACCTTCATAAACATGAGATAGAGCTGACCAGGAGTGAGCACTTCCTGACACATGATGCTGTCGGGGTTTTCCTCCATACACTCCTGCTTGGCATACGTGAAAAGTTTCCTGGTCATCAGACACAGCAGGTAGAACTTCTCTGTGTCTGACTTTAGGTGGATACAGATGCACTCACTGGTCAAAACAGAATACAGTTATTTTTACTAAATGTACCACAAAAACATAACACTGTTGTGCCTGTAAGGCTGTCGATGAAGACTTAAAACAAATACGTACTTCAGCAGGAAGTTGGCGCACTGCTCGTTTGTGTACCACTCAGGAAGGCTCAACTTAACCCTGAAGCGCTCTCCGAGGTAATTCAGCACCTTGCTGCGGGTGGTGCAGGCCTCCTCCATGACAACGCGCAGCATCTCGGACGCACAGCTTTTATAGAAGGAATTTTCCTCGCGGCCCTTGATCAGTTCCTGGTAGATTTGAAAATCTGTGAAGTCCACCAGGGCCTGGAGGATAGCACAGAACTGTATTAACATACCATACCAAGAGCTCATACCTTATATTTCATTATATTTTTCTAAGATATTGTTCTGAAGACATTTAACATCTCTCTTTTCACTAAATAATAAATACAATATTCACTTCCTAAACACATGGACCCTGATTACTACCTTCAGTGCAAAGCCGAGTGGGAGGAAGAACAGCTCTTTGTGGTAGATGAAGTTCAGCATCACAGTCCCGTTTTCCAAATAATGTAGATTCATGTTAACGGCTGTGTGCTCTTCCTTTACGCAGCGCATGGAAATACCTGTGAGAACGCATTTCTGGTGAGATCCATTTTAAAAGATATGCAGCTGGAATTGTTGAGCCTGGACGATCATTACACTGCTTTTGCACAGTTTTTAAAGATTATATTTACCATGCTGAGTGTATCCCTGGCCCCTGCTCTTCCACTTTGGCCTCGACATGGCAATGGGATAGTTCCTCCGTGGCATGATCAACATACGGATAACCTTCTCATTTCCATTCACAATGAAATAGCCTCCCATTTCCTGGTTCCAATGTTAAAAGGGGAAATATGTATCTAATTAGATAGATGCAATGCAATTTCTGTTAATCTTGCAAATGTTTAAAATGCGTGTCTGACCTCTGCCTCTTCATGGTGTTCTACAAGCTCTTTGGGGGGCATGCCATGCAGGTTACACATCTTGGACTTCACCATGATGGGCACCTGACCCATGGACTGTTTTATGATGCCTTTGGGGACTCCGTTGATTGACCAGCTGACATCTGCCTGAGATGATGACACAAAAAAATAACCAATTAAAAAATAAATACTGTAATCATATCACTCACGCGCAGTTTGGATACAGAAATGTCCGGTCCTTTTCGTTGAGCCATTTCCTGGTTCGCACACATCTCAGACTCACCACTATCTTCCCTTTGTATGTACATTTTCTCCCCCTGCACTCTGCTGGAAACACCTTCAGCTCCCTGCAGATGCTCCCTTTGGCGACCACCGGGCTGTAGACGGTGGCCTCAACGAACGCGAGGCTGAGCCTGTCATCTTTGTTCACTGTGAACTCCAAGGGAGGGATGGCCTTAAGAAGAAATGTTACACCACAAAAAAAATATTACGAACTTTGCAGGCGAAAAATTGACAGAAGCTTGAGAACTAAACATGGACACAGAGGGTACCGGAACAGAGTGTGTGTGTGTGTGTGTGTGTGTGTGTGTGTGTACCTACTTCTACCTTTCATATTATATTAAAAGTTTATACAAGTTGAAAAGGTTTTTTAGAATGGTAGATAGTTGTTTTCATATCGTAGCTTCTCAAACAGTAGTCACAAATACACATAGTTATAGAACTACTCGCAACATCACATAACGTTAACTTTAAAAACAAGCCGTTATAGTTAACTAAATCGTTTTCAGCTTCATTTGGTGTTACATTTACACGTCATTTTAGTATTTCTTAAAGAAATCCTATGACATGTGGTTGATAACTTTGTTCAAAGAAAGTTGAACTGACCTGCACAACGCGGGTGAGCCCGTCAGTGACAGCCTGGTCAAACGACTCGATGTGAGCTTTCGTCAGGTCCTGAACGGCGGTGTGTTGAGAGTCATTCAGGACGCCAAATCTGCTCTCTGTCAGATTCTTTAGACTCGGAGCTTTGGGCAGATTCTCCCACTTTAGTGAGGAGTCCATGCTTGCACACCCGGCGACGCATTCGCTTGTTTACCACATGTGCATGGAGACACAGGAAGTACATCCGTCTGGCACCGGAAGTGTTCATCTTCTTCACTGACGGTGTCGCTTTTTTTTGTTGGAATACTGCCATCTTATGGTGTAAATTATCCCTTTCAATTGAAGTGCTATAATATGATGATATACTATAATTCTACACATTCACTGTGGGTGTTACAATACATAGGTTGCCCCACCATAAATATTATAATATATTGTAAAACACTTTCAACACTTCTGTTCATATGAAGGCCGATATAAGATCCCTGCAATGAATGAAACAATCTTGCAACAAGATAGAAAATTAAATTTATAAATGTTTGTGATCTTCATACCTGAATGAATTATTATGTATATATCTTCTGTGACTATTCACCTCTCCACCAAGTTCATTGAACGTCATAAAGAAAGCCCCGTTAGTTTGCTGTATCTGTGGTGCTGCACTGACTGCTGTGATTGATGCTCATCGCTCCTCTCCTCCAGGTGGAGGCGCTGTAGGACAAACAAACACGACTGCTTTCTGGACGTTTTCATGGGAACTAGAATACAAAGAAGCAGTGATGAAGCTGCTGTAACATGTAAACACGTTGCTGTTGTTGTTGTTGTTGTTGTATCAGCTGTTTGTAAAAAGACTGGGTCCCGCTGTGTTACTCAGGCTGCACTACAGCGTCTATTCACAGGCGCGATCCCACTACTGAGCGGCACGGGGGCTTTGACCTGCTCCGTCTCCGACCTGGGTCGGTGCACCCCTCCTTAGACGACCTGGTGGTCCCGGGCTCCCCCAGGAGCACCATACCGATACCGAACTTAGTGCGGACACCCGATCGGCATAGTCCACCGCAACTCAGAGCTCCTGAGCTCAAACGATCCGCCAGCCTCAGCCTCCCGGTAACTTGGATTACAGGCGCGCGCCACCGCACCCGGCGAGGATCAGAGATATCCATCGGGTTGTTATCTTGTACAAATGCAACGTCATCAAAAAGCACAACGGCATCTAGCGGCAGAAACACTGAAACCCCGTAGTATTTTAAGTTGCCTAAAGTCCAGCCAACTGAGAGGCAGCATTTTCTTTAGTGAGCGCTAGATAGAAGCACAGTGTGTGTGTCATATGTTAAAGTGAACGCTGTAGATCAGTGAGGGAAAGTTACTGAGCACATGTAGTCTAGTACCGTGACTGTACTGTCCTATTTGTAGGCTACTTTACTGAGATATATACAAATATACATTCTACTTTACACTACTTCATAGAGAAATACTGTGTGTGCTTTTTGTTGGTAACTTGACAGGTGGCTTTGCACCAGCACACAGCTGTTTTCAACCCTGGCTGACTGTTGTCAGATGTAAAGTGGGGTATTTCACCCAACCACGAGCTACAACGGTGATGAGGTGTGAAGTGCCTCAACAGGGATAAAATCAAGGAAGGAGTGGGTGGCATGCCACTCAACAATAGATGGTTGTCGAAGGTCTTTCAAATTGGAATTAATGTAGATCCCTTAATAAAATAAGATATATTTGTCTTTATTAAACTATACCAAATATGATGAGGTGTATGTAGTCTCTCTGCATAATTTACCTTTACGGACATCGCAGGTACTGCTGTGTTATTCATTGAACAGCTGAACTGGTATTATTTTAACCTTTAAATGCAGATAAACTATAGGTTAGGTGAGAAAAACCCATCAATTGTCCTTGATCAATATCCAGATCTAATCTACTTTATTTCTCAGTATATCATCTTTTTTAACATTTTTGCCCTCATTCTTCTTTACGGTTTTGATCAGCCCTTGTCTTATCTCATCTTGTAGTTGATATTTAAAGACATGGATAACTTATGATAAGATGACCGAGTAACATTGCGCCAACCTTCGTACATTTAAGACCATTTACATTATGTAGTGAGGAATGCTCCACAGAGAATGAAGCATAGGGTGTAAGTTTGTGAACGCAGCCTTCAGGCTGGCTCCTCCACCAACCAAATCCCTAATCAGTGCCAGCATAGAAAAGGCACCTGTTGGCATGGTGTCATTCCTTTATGGCCCCTGTCCTGTACCTGTGGTGCCGTGCATTGGTTTTTGTAATACAGGTATGTATGTAATGTGAAGCCTTATGACAACCATTATGAAATACAGCCGCATGTATTAACTCTGGACTGACATGTTGGCTGGAAATTGGTTTTAGAAACTTCTTCATTGTCCTGCTGTCTGAGTGACTTCATTAGTACCCCATATATGAGTTGGTAAGACACAAGCTTAATTTGTATTATTTTGCAGCATGGTGAGCCTTGTTAATCCCCGTTTTCATTTGTAGGTTCACCTGCTGCTGTTTTGCCTCCGTTTTGATTAATATACATTGTTCAACCAACATGGGTTTGTTTGTCTATTTGTCTTGATTCTTTTTGTTATTGTTCCCTTTGTCTTTAGGTTAAGCAGAGTGCCATTGTTGGGAGGCTAGGCACCCGTGGTGAGGTCCCTACACCATATGCATGCATGTACAAACACTTATGTAAGAATAAGAGTGTGAACTGCACCATTTCTGTTGGGAGGGGGGGGATGTGTTGCACCTGAGGTCAGTTACCGGTAGCACCCTTGGGCACTCTTCAATGTAGTCTGCCTCCCCACCAGTGGCCTCTATTTAAATCCCACAATTTTGCCTAGTTTATGTTGGATAGGACATTATAGAATGGTATTTTTTGTGCTTGGGCCGTTTTAGCTTAACCTGCAATAATTATTTTAAATCCCTTATTGGTTTCAGTCATGTTCATTTGTCCATTAATGTTCTTTCTTCCCCGCAGCTCCCGTCCCTGCCAATTTGCTTATTTTCATGATTCTTTAAATAAAACCTTTCGTTAATTTTTACGAAACACATCTGTCTAATTTCAGTAACTAACAATTCTAAAAAAACAATATCTTAAGGTTGTTAAGCTTATAATTCCTGGGGTGTAACAGGTGGCGTTGTTGGTTCCCTCATTTCCCCCTTAAGGCCCCGCCACAATTACATCTTTGGCTCGACATATTAATTGACGCCTGATAAAACCCCATCCCGCTTAAGCAACAATGTCATTGACACTGACTAATACACATGAGCAAAATAATGGACATGAGATGCTTCCGTTTTATGTTCCCAAAATGATGGACTTGAAAGCAACACAAAAATGCACATAACTGAGTTAAGGGTGCTCCAGTATAATCCAGTCATATCTACATTGTGTGTGTTGATATAATTAACAAATGAGCAAAACTAATGACAAAATAAATTATTAACATAATGTCATATGCTGACACATTTATGGTTTAGTGAGTTACAGACCATATTCACAAAATGAATACAATTAACAGGACCCAAACTAAGGACAACAAGATACAAAACAAACATTTAAACTAAATTAAACAGCTTGTTTATATGTCATAATTTCTAAACTTCTGCAGCAGACTAGATGGGGAGTCAGCCTCCCAACGGAAACGCCGATGGCAGTAATCACCTAAGCATTGATGAGAAAAGTCAGTTAGTCGTATAGGGCTTAATACTGTGAGAACAATACATACTCCTGGGTGGTACATGGTAAATAATGAATTGGATAGAAACAGTTTGGACCTGTGTCACACAGTAATGCGTTATACAATTGTTTTATTTTATAAAGAAGAACAATAACGATATACTCAAGAAAAACATTATCCTGCTTGTCACTGAGGTTACAACTGACTTCTAACTTTGCACATTTATGCCTACCTCTGTTCTACTTTGTTGTCTTTGTTTTCGTTTTATTTTTGTTTATTTGTATATTCTGTGTATTAAAAACCAGAAAAAATTCCGTGTTGTTCCATTAGTTGGTTGATACCTGCAACAAAAGCTTTAAAAAAATAAGGATGCAAGACGCACTGTTGAAAGCCAGGATTTCTATGCGCTTGTTGGCCACTTCCATGCTTTAGTAGAAAATAAATACTTTCCATTCCTTTTGAGAATATTTAGTAATTCACTTACTTGCAGAGGGCACGGCATCATATGGAGCTTGTTGGTCAGACTGAAGGTCCTCTGCTTGGGAAGTGACAGGGATTCCTGCATTTGAGGCCTCCAACATTGGTTCCTTCTTACTTCTCACAGCCCAGTGCATTGACTGAAAACAGATGACCACATACATCACCAGGCTTTCTAAGTTAAACAGATCACACAATATGTATATATATTTACTTTTTTCAATCGTACCAAAGTCAAGACATTACATACAGTTTTAACAGAGTCATTCAAGGCTTGCCAGTCATGAAAAGAAATAGTAACTCCACTTCTTCTCCAAAGGTCATAGTTTTTTCTTTTGGTTTCATTGCATAAAACCTCTTTGGCTTCCTGCAGCTTTTGGAAATCTGCCACTGTCAGGAAGAAAGAAAATATCAGGGTCTAAGATGGATCATCATGCATACCAAATTAGGAGAAATAAATGCCCTCTTGTTTGCATGCAGTTGCAGCTCTACATTAACATAATTTGCTTTGAAGTCAAGACATCAGAAAGATGCATTAACTGTTTGTGGAATAAGTAGGCAAGTA